ATGTTTGAAATTTTAGAATATCACAATCACTGCATGCCTCATCCACATACTACAATCACAGCATGTCTCATCCACATAAAATATTACAATCTGTGGTTCTTATAATACAAAAACAATTCAAACCACCAAAACCATGAACATAGCAGTAGTAGAAATTGTATATCTCTGTATTATTACATCTATATCTATTTTTGAAAACAAAACCAACCAGTATATATTACATTTTCTATTTATTATTTTTAGAGATAGATTTAAAAACCAAAAGATATAGATAAATAATAAGTTTATTTTTTTCAATTCAAAAAAGATATTAAGTTGAAAACTTTTTTTCAACAGAATATTTAAACTCTTTTTTAATTGAAAGCACAAACAGAATATTTAAACAAACTGAAAACACAAAGTCTTATAAACTATTAGGGGTGTTCGTGGTTTGACAGTTCGGTTGCGGCCAAAAGAATTTTAAATCCGTCATCCGTCCATCAGATTGGAAGATTGGAGAAAATCAATCCGCAACTGTCCGTTTGTCATCACGCATCCGTCCAAAATGCGGCAGATCGATTCGGTTCGATTGATTTTGACGAATCGATATATCCACTGCTCACCCCACTGTCAACTAATAAGAAAACCAACATTTAATACGCTTTCCAATCACTTAGATTAATGTACAATATTGTTTGCAAAAGCAGACTTGGAGATGTCATTCTATAAAGCATCCTGTGGTAGATGATAACCAGTAAATTGATTGTCGTTTACTTTTTGAAATCAACAATGATAAAGATAATTAATTTTGAAACTCTAAAAAGATCATTAATGACATGAAATTCAATAAAAAAAAATATAACATCAAGATCAAAATATCAAATTATTTATAGTGGGACCTATTACCACATCATTAGTGGTAATACTAATTAGTACTCCCACTTATTTTTCTTTTGAAATAACAGAAATGTTTTTCAACTTTTTTATTGCTGATCATTATGACATTAATATGTGACAGTCTAGATGCAGCCCAACAATGATGACAGTGAAACCACAAGAACCACGAGCAGGAAACGGAAAAGACAGCGATGTAACTTATATGTTTAGTTTAACGAGAAATATTTACTAATAAATAAAGCGATGTATTTGACAAGTGGTGTCAGGACTTGTGTCTGAAAAATGAATTTCCAGGTATTTTCAGTCAGTCGGAGATGAAAAAAGCAACACTTCTTATTTCTCTAGGTGAATGTAACAGCGCTTATTATTTCTGACATTAAATAAAAAAGATTTTTTAAGACTTCCTACCATATTTCTCTTCCAAGCATGCGTATTAAATTCATCATACTTCTCTGTTCTGTCCTGTACTTGCAACATAATGACAAACATTTAATTCTTGTGGGAGGGGGGACGATGAGAATTAGATAAACCAAAGAGATATATGATATGAATTGAGCATAGAGGTGACCCTTTTCAAAAGCAAGAAAGTATTTTTGTTTGGTTGATTAATGCATAAATTGATTGGTTATTTAGGAGTTGTTTGGGATGACCTAAATAAGTGTATTTTTTGTCTTTTTATGAAAAGATGTATAAAAAAATAGAGAGGTGATATGATGAAAAGAAGATAAAAAGATGGATTATTTTAGAGTTGCCAAACTTGTCCTTAGATTTGTGAATTGGACAGTTTGATTGTTGATTTATCATGCGTAAGTTTTGCAAGAATTAATTTAGCAGGTTGTGTGATGCGGCTGCTTGGTTTGACTCAGGGCCGTTTGTTTTCAGAGATATAATGGAGGAGATTGATAGTGAGAGGACTAAGTAAAATTGTGTTTATTTTGATGATAATTATTAGTGTAAGAATTGTTAAATTATTTTTATATAAAATAACAAAACAAATAAAAAAATATAAAAAATTAAACATTAATATTTTAAAAAAAATTCCAATATATAAAAAATAAAAAAATAAAAAAATTTCTAATCCCCTCACTATTTTTCTAATACCATCTCCATCTCCACCTCCTCTATCTCAATCCCCCTTCCAACCTCCATCTATATCACCTCCTACATCTTAATCCCCTCCCCAACTCTACAAACAAATACAACACTAAATAACCCCACCTCCATCCTAATTCCCTTCAATCTATTTAACTCCAAAACAAACGAGGCCTAAGATACTTCATACTTGTAAGTTGTGAGTTCCTTCAACTATGGAGACTACAGTAGGCTGTGTTTGGATTAATAATTTTTGATATTCGAGGTGCTTTGTTTTATGTTACTGTAGATGTTAATTTCCCGGATGTGAAGCTTTCCAATCAGGAGTGAGCCAAACTTTCTTGGGGAGCAATGAAAATCTATTCCTAGTGACCGTCTAAAGTCATTCACATCTTTGAAAAGGGGATAGAGCAATCATGTATGCTTGCTTACACAGAATAAATGTGTGCATACTTGTAATGTGAAAACTGATTTGCCAAAGAAAAAGTTTTCAATGAGAAAATCTACATCTCACTAATACAAACAATCCATCACCAAAATCAAATTGTGAAGATAATAAAGAACCCTAATTAGCAGATGATTTATAGGCCAAAAAAACATAATTAGAATCCAATGATGAAAGTTATATCATGTGGGTTATGGAGATTAGAGGCGATTGGTTGTTTACCTCTTGAAAGATAGTAGGCACTTCAATGGCCTGAGATTACCAGAGGTGGAAGAAGAGAAAACCAAGACAGACTTAGAGAGGAAAATGATGGCAGAGAGAGACCTTGAACACTCAGTGTATATTATGTGATTCTTGGTGCTCTTGTTGTGCTATTGTGGCTGCACTTATGATGCCGTTATATAGACTCTAAGAGTATTGGAGCCCAAGCAACCTCAAGACAGGTGGCGAGTTCTCCTCGACTCGACAGGAGGGTGATATCAGCCCTACTAACTGTGTCGTATGATCCAGGTCCTTGGGAAGGTTACATCATAAGAGTTGCAGCTGTAGGTATGATATCTTGAGAGGCGTATCATGTGTATCAGATGTAAGTGTAAAGTCAACGTCCCTTTCTCTAAGCCAAGTCAAAGGAGGAGTTATCACTACAAAGAGATAGCTACTCGACCTTGACGATCCCGAGGTCTTAGTCTCCAACCCACAATCCTCCAATGATCCCAAGCGGGAGTGCTTAGGTCCTGCTTCCAACCTAGGCAGCCAAGAGGATGAGTGCATGGGTGAGCCAATGGCTCACCTTGAGCAGCTAAGTAAACATAAGTGAGCTAAGAGTCCGACTATGTTGCTATGGAGTTGGGGTGAGTGGGTAGAGAGTATATTTCTTGTGTTATAAAGGGCCATGGAGGGCTCTAGGTGAGCCAGCTCTGTGTGGCCTTGTTTTCATACTTGGTGTTTTGCATGCCCCTGCTTAGGCTAGGCATGTAACCCCAACTCATTGTGGTGCCTCAGGGGTCTGCCACGTGGATGTGTGATGGTGCTAACATACTCATCGTGGTGCCTTAAGGGCTTGCCATGTGGATGTGTAGTGATGCTGGCGTGACGTCCGTAGGGCTCGCCACGCGCCAAGCATAATATAGATACCCACATATCATACTTGCATGTTGGAGTTCAACGCATATTCTTTAGGACGAAATTAATCCATTCAACTCGCACTTCATCAAGTTCGGTGTTTGTATAAGTCTTTTCCCCATTGAATTACAAGAGAAATTTTAGAAACAATTGAAAAAGATATACTAGTATCATGAATATAATATAGTAATAAAAGTTAGAATTTATCTCAGACTTTGTTTTCTTAAGATGCTTTGATCTCTAATGATGTCTTTCATGTATCTCATTACATAAAACCCACATTCCACATTTGTGAGTTGTTGCGCGGACTACGTGCAAGCATTTTCATTATTATTAGAAACTACAAGCATTTTCATTATTATTAGAAACTGCATATAAAATGTTATGATCAAGATGAATTACCATTAACATAAATATAATTCAAACTAAATATATATAATAATGATATTGATTACCTGAACTACTTTCCAAATTGGATTAGTCTTCCTCCCTTGAGAAGCTTCATAAATTTTCAAAACACTTTAAAAAAGAAATAAATATTTAAAAACACACTTATAGCCTTCAGTCAAATGACAATGACAAAGTAAAGAACAATCGCACCTATGCAGCAGAGTTTGTCCATATTGGGAAAAAATATATATAGGTGTACAGTTTTTACTTTTTGTACTTTATGAGGATTGTACCCAAATAGACAAATTGAAAGAGAGAATAAAGGCTAATTTGGCGCGAAGCAAGCATGAAGTTAAAATCTTACTAAATAAAAGCTCCAACTATAGTTAACTCATGATTTTACCTTTTATAGCTATAACTCATTCATCAATTTCAAAGTGCTCACACCACAACTGTAACTCAAAAATCACAAGATGGCAAATAATTATAACCAGAGGAACCTTAAAAAAATAAACAAATAAATAAACAAAATAAAGTAAAAGAAAAGAGAAAAGCAAGATGCAATGCCTTTACATGTAGAGATGTAAGATGAAGGATGATGTTATTAGCCAAAATTACTTTGATAACACTTCTAAGAATTTGTTCATTGTGAATTAAACTACTCCATCTAAATTACATTATAAACATTCCCCAAACTATGAACTTTTAAATCAATGAATTGTAAACCCACTTCTTGTAATGATCTTTCATACCAAACAAAAACAAAAACTAATAATAACAAATTAATTAAAAAAAAACCAACAACAACAAAATGAAATATCATTACAAGAAGTGGGTTTACAATTGCTCATCTTACAAAATGAGCTTTTAAACATTGCTCAAGCTACGAACTTTTAAATCAGTGAATTGTAAACCTTCTTCTTGTAATAATACTAGTTGGACCCCAAGCGCTCCACGCATGGAAGTCGCACTACCGTGAGCGAAATGTATATTATGGAGCATATCAAGGAGTTACTTGCCCACATATGTATATATATATATATCTAGAAAGAGAGAGAGAGAGAACAATAAAACATGGGTTGGCAATGATTTAAATGTGAATATAATGATACCAAAATTTCAGTTTGGCTCAAGCACATCGACAAATTGGCAGTGGCGATGGGAAGTGGAAAAACACAGTTTGTGTACAGTGTTCCAGCTTCCCATCAACAAAAGACAGACATCTAAATAAACTCCAAATTCAATTCCAAACCTATGAAGAATTCTGTCTCCCTTGTTTTGAAGTAGTTGGCGAAAAGTCTCTAGCAAAGCAACAACCATCGATGTTAGCCCCAGGACTTTCAGTAACTTGGAATGATGACTGAAATCTCTCCAGACCATTTCTATTTTGCTGCCCTATAAACAGAACAGGTGTTTCTGCAAAAATGAAAACACCACTCAAGAAATGGAAAGAGACAAAATCAACCATACAAATTGCAATATTGTATTATTTTCCCTTTCACACGTGGGTGACTATATCTATTAATGAAAGTCTAGCTAATAGACAAGTAAGCACAAAATGGTACAAAATTGAAATGGGCATAAGCTTGTTAGACCAAGAAGACTACTGGCATTTTTATCAATAGACGAGAACACAAAAAAAATTTCAGTAAGAAATCCCCTCAAAAAAATTATAATATTATTATTAATAAATTGAAATGAAGTTCTTAGTAGAAGAGGGGATAAAACAGAGGAAAGGTAAATCCAATTTTAGCCAGCTATAAAAAGGCAGACAAATACAATTAACATAATCTGCAATAGCTAACTCAAAAGCAAAAAAGAGAAGAATCCCATGTAACCGATTTCAGGTTATGTGTGGAAGCAATAAAAAGAAGCCAAAAATCCAATCCACTTTATTAAACATGTCATAGTTAATGATAGCCCCAACATTTAATTCAAAGACAAAGAGAAGAGAAACTAAACATCATTGAAACAATTGAATGATGAATGAGTGTCAAACAAAAAAAAAAGAAGACATTTTGATCATCACCCCAATTTCATTGTTGGATGGAAATGGATCATAAAGACTTACATCATGCAGCTACACCAATGGATATTGATTTTCACAAGCTTCCAATACTAACAGATAAAGGCCTTTTCCATTTTTTTTTTTTCCCTTCAACGTATGTGTGAAGCACCATAACCATAACACCAACCATGATGATAAAGTGAAATGCTCATGGACCCCAAGCTGGACATGTTCTCATTCGGAAAAAATTTAAAAAAAAAAAAAAAAACACCCCCGGCTTTACATGTTCCCGAGGCTAAGGGCAAGATTACTTTTGTTGTACTTGTTTATTTTATTATTCAATTTGTGTTTGTTGCTGAATTTGTGAGTTTTCCTTTCTTTTGTTCATAGTGGAGCCTCTGCTCTGTCAATGATTTTTCTTTCTTGATGAATTTGGAACTGGGTTAGAGTAGTTGTTTTTGTTTTGTTCTTCAAACTTTTGCATTTTCATTGATTCTTTGAGTTGGAACCTTTGAAATGAAGCAATGAAAATCAATTGCACACCATCAATTTTCCATATTATAAACTTACATTCAAGCGATATGAAATAATATTATTTGCCAAGATGCAAAAAGACCAGCTCAGTATAATATTTTAAATATAATTACATGGGTAGTCTTGATTGGATTGGAAAGGTTCGTTCATGAGTTTTCTTTAAGGGCTTTGTTTTCATCTTTATGTTTTTGATTTTTTATAGGTATTTGTTTTCCTATATGTTTTTTATGATTATATTTTCTGCATACTGTTAAGCTCCTTTGTATGGATTTGTACTGATTATATTGTTTTTTGCTTGTTTTCTGAGTGCCATCTGATATAATACTTTGTGGAAAATATATATATATATTTTTTAAAGAATAGAGCTGAATATGTTATGGAGTTGAGGCGAGACCTTAAACAAGGAAGTAAAATGAATGTGATTTTTTGTAGGTGACCAAAGATGGCTAATCTATCATTTTCAACGACGACTTCATCATTTCTAAAGACTATATAAGCTCTTATATCTATTTTCTCTCACACACAATTATTTTAGAAATTCTTGTGGTTAATTTTTGAAAAGATGCCAATTAATCAAATTTTGAATTTTGAATTTCAGGGTACTGTATATGGGAAGAGGGTGATAGAACTGAGTCTGTTTGAGTTCCTTTGCTATGCCCCTCAAAGAGAGCCTGGTAAGGTGGGCAAGTCTCTCCTGAGAAAAAATAAAGATGGCAAGATTTTAAGTTGGAATGTTGAGAGTGATGACTCACATTGTACACTTGAAGAAGCGTTTAATAATGTTAAAAAAAGAAAATGAAAAATGGAGGGATATTTCCAGTCAATTCTGTCACGATACAGTATCCAGGTGAAGTTCATTAAAAGCGTGTAGTCATTATGAAAAGAAAGATAAAAAATTGTTTTGTTAGATGTACAAACCTCTCCAGCTGGAAGACCAAGGTGTTCAGACCATAGCGCAAGGCGAAGACTTGAAGAAAATTTTCCTGCCTTCCAAGGCTTTCCTCCCATACATGAATTGACAAATTTTGTGTCTTCAATAAGTACACCAATCTGAATCAACAAAATTTTTGTTAACAACCAAGAGATACTACAACAAAAAAGTGGCGGAGATTTGAACATTAAAATGGAAGGGCATATCATAATTGATTGTGTAGTTTGTCAAAAAGTTGGAGTTGCTAAAGATCAAATTAAAACATTTGTTTGACGAGTGATAATATCAATAAATATAAACTATGTCTGTATATGTGTAACAATATCACATATACAAAGAGTCAAGATCAAGGTCCAACTGTAACCAAGCACCACCCTAGAGTTATTAAAACAAAAGTAGCTTATAATCACAAGAAATAATGGTGAATACTTCGAAAAAAATTGCTATTAAACTAATGGAAGAATCAATAATACAGAATCATCAGCGAAGGCAAGGTGAACACTCCTAGGTTGGGTGCCTGAACTCCCTCCTAAAAAAGCAAAGCTTCTTCCATTCACAGCTCATATCTAAGGATAAGAAATACTGCTCTGACCTCCGCAGCAATATTCAGTTTTTTGTGCCATTAATTAATCATAAAAAATTTCCAAAATATAAAAGCTAGAGACATACAAGCAAATCAGCTATTTTCTGTTATTGTGACTTACAGACAATATGTGTATAACAATATCACATTTACAAGAGTAAATATCAAGGTCCAACTGAAACCAAGCACCCTGCTAGAGTTATTAAAACAAAAGTAGCTGCACAGCAGTATAATGACAACAAGAAGCAAGGGTGATTATTTTTCAAACAAATTTTATTTAACTAATAGGAGCGATCAAAAAGACAAAAGCATTAATAAAGGGAAGGTGAAGAAAGAAAACAAGCTAGCAGCGTATGGGTGCCTGAATTCTCTCCCCAAAACAATTCCCTCATTCACTGTTCATAGCTAAGGATAAGAAATACTGCTTTGACTTCTATGCCATTAATTAATCATCGAAATTTTGAACACAATATAAAAGCAAGAGACATGGAATTCAAGCAAATAAACTACTCTGTTATGCAGTAAGTTGCTCCTTGAAGCATAATTAAAAAATTAAATTAGGAAGGCATTGAATTTTCCATTGTGACCCCCTAGGGTGATGGACTTGTAAGTTTATCAGCAGACATTTGGTTAACTAAATCTATGCTTTGTAGTGGAAATTAATAAGAACCTTGTAAAGAAATCTATACCGAGAACAATTGTCTGAACTAAATACATCTAACCCTTCATTATTAGAGGAAAAATGAAAATAAATTTGCACCACCTCTCGCATGCGTGGATAAGGTGGCAAACAGAAGACAAATTTGAAAATTATCAATCCATCTGTGAAAGTTGTCTCCTCTCCAAACCATACTTCACATGATCCGTTTCCCAAATTTGGTTTTCTAGTTTTTGTATCTAATACCAAACAATTGAGCAGTCAAGGCAAGTTTGTAATAAGGTAGTAAACAACTTCTCCCAAAAACAAAGTAAACAAATCGAGGGGAAAAAAAAAAAAAGAAACATAAGGAACGTTCTTATAGGAATTTTAGTGAACACCTGGCATTCTTTCATCAACAGGGTCAACGAACTAGAGAATCACTCTCTCCAAAACCAAAGTAAAGAACGTAATTATTGTGTCTCAACTAGAGAGGAAACAAAAAATTTTAGACACTTCACAGGTATTCAATTTATTGATGCAGAAATGGATTAAGAAATACCAGAGGGAGTAACACTATGTTTGGGAACTAAGGAGAGAAAAGAAAAGAACTGATTCCTTAAGTAATAAGAGAAAAGAAAAAAAAGAAATGATTGTAATTTTTCTCCTTTTTGTTTGGATAAGAAAGAAATAAAAGAAAAGAAATGATTGTGATTTCTCTCATTCTTGTTTGGTTAGGTTTCATTAAGAGAAAAGAAAAGAAAAGAAATTATTTTATGTTATATTACCAAAATAACCTTTTTATATTTTCAATCATTTTATTTCTTTTATTTTTATAGAGACAAAATAGGTATTATGAAAATAGCGATTTCTTTTCTCTCCCAATCTCTCCACTTTTGAGAAGATTGAAAATGAGACTCATAAGCGAAATGAGTTTCTCTCAATTTCTTCTCATTTCTCTCTACTTAGGTTATCCAAACAAATAAGAGGAATACATATCACTCAATTTTTTTTCTTTTCTCTCCAAATCACTCAAAGCAAAAGGCTGTTCCTTGAACTGAAATTTTGTAACAATTGAAGGAAGAGGGTTTCGCGACAATTGAAAACGAATTGATATTTGCAGGCTTTGTCATGAAGCACATGGAATTGACGCTTCCAGAACAGAGCCAGTCACACCGCCATGGACAAGTAGCTTCGTAGTAGCAGTGAGGAAGGAAATCGTCGATGGGCAACACGCGTTGTACCTCGGTGATTTCCCCTCTTGATGGGCCACAGTCGGAGCAATGGCGGATGATTTGCATACAACACATCCATAGCTATGGCACCGAACAGGAAATTCTAGAAGGGAGAGATGGTGGCTTCCGATTGGTTGTTCGATTGGTTGGGAGATGAAGCAGTTCTCTATAAGAAATTCTAGAACGGTTATGCACTTTTTATATAGGTTACAGATTTGGAGGATTCAACCTGAAGCATCATACCAAACCAAACCAAACCAAAAAAAAAAAAAAACACAATAAGAAATTGAACGTATTTCCTACACAAACACTTCCAAGAATTTGTTCCTTGTGAATTAAACTACTCCATCTAAATTAAACTATAAACCCTGCTCAAACTATGAACTCAACAAATTGTAAACCCACTTCTGGTAATAATATTTGGAGGATTCAATATCTATCAGCAGATTTCTTTTTGACACCCAAATAGATGTGATGTTGGTTGTTGAAAGTGTAATAGCAAACACACACAAATGATTTAACACTGCTCAGAGTAATAAATTTAAGAGTAAAACAATTCAATTTTGAAACTAAAGAAAGAATTCAACAACTGAATCCACTGCCCTAAATCATCTTGTTCGAATTTTTTTATCAAAACAATTGAATTTCTACAAGAATATCTTCTTTGAAAATTCTGGGTTACCACAACAAAAAAAAAAAAAAAAAAAATGATAAATTTGAGTGTATGGTAATACATCAGTTAATTATTTCCGATGTTAAAAGATGATAAAAAAATAATAAAAGCCTTGGGTTGGGAAACCAAGCCTGCGTTTGGTTGCGTTTTGTAAATGTGATTTGAGAGTATGAGATATATTTTGAGTTTATAAATTGTAGAATTATAATTTGAGTGTAAAAAATTTGTTTGGTTATGATTTTTAAATAGAGTTTTGAATTGTGTTTTGAAGATGTATTTTGAATTAAGTTTTGGAAATTTGATGTGACATGTGAAAGGTGAAAATTTATTTGGTGATGTGTTTTGAAAGTAATTTTCAAAACTTAATTCAACCAATAATTTATCATCAAACAAACAACTCATATATTGATATTCATATCCATATTTTTTATCAATAATAATAACCAAACTATTTTTAAAATATTGAAATTAAATTTTTTTTTTTTTTTGTCAATTATTTTCTTTTAGTAATTTTTTGAATAATTGTTATTTCGAAATAATTTTTTCATTTTAAAATAAACCGATGTCAATTTTTTTCTACCAATTAATTTTTCTATCAATTCATTTATAAAATACGTTTTTAATTTTTTTCTAACATTTTGTTAAAGTCAACAACTTTTGAAAATACATATTAATAAAGAAGGGATAAATATACTAACTTTCATATTTTAAAATACAAATCATAATATAAATCTTACAAAACATTATCAATTTATTTTCCATTTATTACATTTTTTGCAATTTAGTACAGATGTGTAACAGAAATGCAATCTATTATTGTACCCGTTGAGCTCATATAATTGTGAAAATTGACATACGAAATGACCATTATGCCCCTCTGAACTTAAATGAGAAGTGATTATATAAAACGAAATACAAAGGGTGAGATCGTAATTTCACTTACTTAGTACCTACTCCCTATTATATAATATATGTGTTCAACAGTGAGGTAAAGAAAAAGCAGAGGATGTAGCTCAGACACGCATGTGATATCATGAAAAAAGTAATAATATTATATTTAACAAATAAAAAGTAAAAAAAAAAAAAAAAATTACAAGAACCTTCTGAACCTCACCCTTCTAAACTTTACCCTTTTTATTAAATCTGAATCTCATTCCGTTTACCGCACCAACTTCACCATCTCAGAAACACCTTCTCCAGTTACATCACAGAACAAGAATTAGGCAAATAGAAGATATCCACCATCTGATTAGGTCCTCCTTCTCCACTTCCATAATTTACAGGTTAGTTTTGATGCCGGTTCATCTTCATATTTGCTTCAGACATTAGCTTCAGACATTAGCTTTAGAGGGAGGGGAAGGGGAGAACGACCGGCCGGTCATTCCGGGGGACATCCGCCCGGTCATCCCTGCCCAGTCACCATTCTTTGTTTCATATCTGTTCTATTTTCATCTGTTATATTTTTTGATATCTATTATAATTTTTTCACACTATCATTTATTTTTCTGATTATCAATTTCTAAGTTCTAATAAACTGTATGAATCAAACCCCAATGACAAATATCATTCCCTATGATTTTTTTTCTTTTTTTTTTTATACAAATCTGTTTCTTTGGCATCTTCCTAATTAAATTTTGTCACCAAATTTTTTTATATTTATTTTTTACATAAAAATAAGTTTGTATGTACAAAAAGATACTAATGTTTGATATATTTTTCATACATTTTTCTTACCTCTCATATGTTTTAATATACATTTTTCTTTCACTTTTACAGTCATCATGCCAAGAACAAAACGAACCAGACCCGAACTTGGTGAATTGTCAAACCCTGTACCACCACCACAGCAACAAGATGATGGCTATCCAACTAATGATTTTGCAACATATCATCATGAACAAGCCTATGAACATTTCATTCATCGACCAATTGTTACGGGGAGAAACGTAAAACTACCTTCTCAATATGATTCACTCTTACTTGGCAAATTAGATACAATGGGATGGTTACCATTAAATAATTTACCAAATAAGATATATCCCCGTCTTCTACGATTATTTTATGTTCACTTGACAGCGGGTAACCAACAAAATGAACCGTTCATTCTTACCTCTTATGTTAAGGGGAAAATAATCACACTCTCTCTCCGTCGTTTTGCACAAATTATTGGAGTCGAAACAGGAGATTTACAATGTTATTTTCAAAATGAGTCTGTCTTAGAAAAAATTGTTGATGATGTCACTCAGATTTATACCACAATTTGTGACAACCGATTTAGCGGCACTAATTTAAAAGTCAGCCATTTGAAGCCTCACATTCATATTCTCCATCAATGGATAGTTGAAAATGTCACCCCCAAAAAAGGACATTATAATACTGTTTCATGTTTTCAAGTTTACTTGTTATATTGTTTTGAAATTGGACAAAAATTAGATTTATGCTTTATATTACTAAAAGAAAGGATGGTTGCAAAATTGGATACTCTGAGTGGCCGGTCCCTACCTTTTGGAGCTTTGTTAACCATAATTTTCAAAGCCTATGATGTGAACCTTGAAGGTGAAGTATGGATCAGAATCACTTCACCAATTTCTGAGTATACATTGACCCGAGCTGGTGGTTCTGACACGTTGATGGGCTCTCTTAATCTTTAAAATGAACCAATACCTAATGCGGAAGAACCCAATGACAATGCCATGCCACCAAATGAACAACCCCATTACTGGACTGATTATTTAGCCTTGGAACAAGAATGGTACAATCAGCGCCTACAATGGGAACAACAAATGGCTAATCAGCTCAATACACTGGGTACTCGGTTTAATGAATTTGGTACTCGATTCGATGAAATTGCCACCGCTCAGAACTCACTAATTCATCAATTTGGTGAGTTCCGTGTAGACTCCGAGAGACGTGCTGAACTAACAAGGAACCGCATTGATCTGATTGACCATCGAGTCACTCAGCTGTACCATCAGCATTTCCCTCCACCTCCAACACCACCTGACAAGGATGCTTAACTTGTTTAAAAATCATACGGTGGTTATATTTTTTCCCTTTTTTTTTTGTTTTGCTTATTTATTTGGTGAGTTTTGTTGTGATTGTTTACTTTTGTTATTTTGTTATAAACTTTTCTATTCACGTAATGAATAAGAACGAGGGGTTTTTTTTGGAAGCATTTAATTACACAGTTATAATGTTAATAAATAGTACGTCATAGATGTCTACGAAAACCTTCATTTCAATAAAAAAAATAAAAATTACACAATTATTAAATAATTTGTGTGCATCAATTAATAGAAAAAATGAAATTAATGTTCTGAAATTAAATACAACAAGTTACAATTTAATAATAAACATGTGTACCTGTAGACACCCCATTTTTGACTGTCCTCAAGACTTGGACGTCACCATTTGAACACTCGGTGATCATCCATGTTTGTGTTCGTCTTGAGTTCCCAGAGGTCTCGGCTACGCTCCTTGCCTTAGGATCTCTCGACTCGACTGTTTCGTGTTTGATTTTGCACCAAACACTTGTGTTTTTCCTTTGAGGGGCAGGGAATGCCTTGTGAGGCATCCCCACACATCACCGGCCATGTATAGAGGCCACCGGCCAGTGTTTTGTTGCCATCGGCCATATATTTGGCCGGTCGGCACTCTTGATGGTCGGTCGGTCATTTATTTTGTCAAAATGGCATCTTTGGCTGGTCGATCACTGTTCATCTGCTTTTGCAGATATTTTTATGCCAGCTGTGCTAGTTGGCATACACTTTCACCCCCTCCATACACGTGTATGGAGGGATTTCCCTCTTGACTAGCTTACTTTGCAAGCTTTGCAAGAGGGATCTTCTATAAAGGGAGGGCCTCTCCTCCCTCTTCTAGGGTTACAAAAAAATACAGAGAGAGCTCTGAGTTAGGGTTAGTTCATAGTTGTTGCTATTCTATCTCTATATCTCTCTCTCTCTTTTGCCTTAAGGTGTTTTAGTCTTACTACTGCACACAAACACCTAGTTCGACACTTTCCTTTAGCTACTGAGGTACTAAGGGGCTGTTCTTGAAGTTTTTGAGTTGGTTTGAGCCAAAGAAGCTGCTAGTCTTCCATTCTTGAAGAGGGTCTACAAGGGTAACAATCTTACCCCATTTTTGCATAGCATTTTAACCTACCTTACACCTGTTTTTAGAATTTGCATATAACTAATAAAAGTCTTGATTTTGAGTGTTTTAAATAGTTGATTAAGGGTGTTTTGTTGTTTGGGGTTGTTTGACCCCTCTTAAGCCTTGTCAGGCCCCTTTTTTGTGCTATTTTGGTGAGCTCTGGGACCACATTGTTTGGGCCTCCTCACTACTGAAATCTTGAGGGATTTCAGTGGTGAGGATGGTGGTTTAGGGTCCCAAGAAGGAGAGAGCCACCCCCCTCTCCTTGTTATCCTTGAAAAGGGCCATTTTAGCCTCTTGAGTGAGCATCTTATTTAGGTTTATGTTGGCCATGTCCTAGCTATTATTTGTGCTTATCTTGCCATGTTTTAGCACTGTTGTAGGTTGGTTTAGACACACCATGCTTGCTTAGTATACATGTCTTGTAATGCCATGATTTAGCCTTAACATGCTTTAAGCTTTGATCCTTGTTCTAGCATGGCTTTGGCCAAGCTTTGTAAAGCTTTTGTGTATATTTCAGTGTGCCTTAGCTCTGTTTTCATTTGCTTTGGTCATGCTCAACATGCTTTGCATAGTTTCTTTGCATTCTAGCTTGTAGGCCTTGAATGTGGGATGTTATGAGCATGCTTTGTTTGCTTTAATTAGTTGGTTTGGCACCTCTATTTTATGCAATTTCAGAGCTCATAATGCATGCCATTAGTCCATGTTTATTCTCTTTTAAGTGTGCTTAAAAGTTGTCTCTATGTGCCTAAGTGTTGGACCTTGCATGCATGCCTATTTGTATGTGTTTTGGCTTCCATTCTTGAGCATGTTAGCCACTGTTTTAGGCTTGTTTGAAGGCTGCCTAAATTAGTCTAAGTCCATTCTCGCATGTTGTGGCATGCTCACCTTCTGTATTGTTGCATACTTGGCCTATTGCATGTGTTGCATGCTTAAATCTTAGTGCATTTGGCATGCATTCTTCTCCTTGCTCTGGTTGCTTAATATGCCACATGTCTTGCACACTTGCATGTTGGCATTGCATCCCACATGCTTGCATGTTTGCATGTTTTCCCCATGATCATACTTGCATGCTTGTCCTCATAGCATGTTAGCTAACATGCCTAGGTTGCATATCATTGCATGCATCTTTCACCTCTTGATCAAGCCATGATAGAGGTTGAAGGCTCCCTTGTATGTTTATGTACATTGCATTTCATTTAAAATCAAAATGCATAACTTGGTCTCTTGAGCCATCACGCATTGAAATGCGCGATTGGTGGCCCAAGAACCAAGGAACATACCCCTTTGAGTCATAAACATGATAAAAGGTGTGTTGGTGCATACATTTGCTTGAAATGCATTGTCATGCCATGTTTTGCCCTCTGCTGCTGTCAAAATAGGTTTCTGCAGATAGAGATGGCCGGTCGACTACACCAAGTGCCGACCGACCAACAATTGGTGGCCGATCGCTCAACCAATGGTCGATGACCATCCTGCCATGGCCGGTGACCATTTGCCTTAGCCAGTGGTGTTCCACAGTGTCCAAACAGTGCTCCCTAGGACTTTTGCAAATTTCAGAGGAGCAGAGCAGGGAAAACAGAGGCAACTTGTGCATGGTAGCGGATTTTTGAGCGAAACCGAGCGCGCATGCATTGGACCCTCTTCCCGAGGCCTTTTTCTGCTTAATTAGCTTAGTTAATTTTCTTAACTAGTTAATCGCCTGTAATAATTAATTAGCTTGTAGGTTAATTAATCTGTATATTCTTTTGGTCCCTCCGAGTGAGGGCGAATTTGTAATAAGTGTGGGTGCGTGTGTGCATGTCTTCCAACCCCTACTTCTTTCTCCCTTTTACTTACCTGCTTTGATGGTTAGTGTTAGGGCACGTTTAATTTAGCATACCTTATGCTATGCATGCGTGCATCATTCATCAGTCTTGCATGCACCAGGCTCAGCGCATCATGCTAACTGCATAGTATTTCAAATCAAACTTGAATACGTGTTATCTGTCGCATCTTACATGTCATTTGTAGATTAGCCGAGCCTATTTTAATGGCATTCTGTATGCGATACATTAGTCACTTTAACATGAACTAGGGTCATGCATGATTACTAACTAGTTCATTCTTTTGGCACGGAGTACGATGTAAGTATTTATGCTTTAGCATCTCGCACGAGTGTGAATGTTAACATGACAGCATGCTTACCATGTGGCTATGTGCTTATGTGATATTACTGCCTGAATGCCTGTGGGTGAAGGTTGGATTGTTTGAGTTGGAATAACTCGTTGAAATCCGTGTTTTAGCCTACTCGCGAGTAACAAATTTCAAACCATTTTCCAAACAAACGGATATGCAATGCTTTGCTCCAAATTAGGCGATCTAGTCTATACTGGTTTGCTGCGCGCAACACATAGTAAATCTAGGCTAATAACCGGAATAAGAATACATAGTGTTTTCAAAACTCGATATCATGGTTAGTAGAGGCCGATTTTTGATCGGGCGAGAGGGGGTGCTCACAGCTGACCTTCCCCAATCGTACCCAAGTTCCCGAGCCGAGGCAACTTTGGTGATGACGGACACGTGGCCTTAGGCAAACGAGTCAGGGTTTCCTAAATTCTCCCAAAATAAAATATTTAGGTGGCGACTCTGTATCTGGCAAAGCAGTCCATGTTTGGCACTTCTTTTCTAAAAATCTGTTTTCTCAAAAACGATTTGACAGATTTGAACGCTTTGGTTAAGATTAAGAACCATGACAATTTGAATTCGAGGACGTCTACAGTACCCAAAAAAAAATATTTAATAATAAACATTCTTTTTTCCTAATGAAAAGGAAAAAAAATTCAGATAACCTTCTGTACAGAAAATTAAAGTGAATACCCCAGCGTTTACACAAATTATACACTCTTACTTGAAGATGTACCCTGCGAATTTTTGCACATTCTTCATATAAAAAAATATTTTGCTATAAAATCGGGTGATATAAAAAAGTAAAATATAATAATTATTTTATGCTATTTTATTTATTATTATTATTGTTATTATTATTATTATTATTTGTTATTTGTTACACTTTTAAATGGTGAACTTATCACCACCACCACCTACCACCACCAACCACCCACCTACCAACACCACCCATCACCACCCACCACCCATTTGCCACCATCACCCACCACCATCCACCACCCATCATCACCCACCACCCACCTGCCACCACCACCAACCACCCACCACCACCACTACCACCACCACCAACCACCCACCACCTCTATCACCCACCACCACGCCAAGCACCACCCAATCACACCCCACACCGCAGCCTGCCAGCAGCCATCCTATCAGCCACCCCACCCAGTTGCTCACCAGCGGTACCTCACCACGCCACCACATCGCACCGCCTGCCACCACCACCCACCACCCACCATCACTGCCACCACCACCACCACCCGCCACTTACCCGCCACCACCACTCACCAGCCACCTGCTACCACCATCTACCACCTGCCACCACCAACCACCCACCACCCCCATCACCCACCACCCACCCTCCCCCCGCCCGCCACCACCACCCACCATCTACCACCACCACCACCACCATCACCCACCACCTACCCGCCAACTTGCCAGCCCCACCCATCACCACCCACTACCCACCACCCACCACCCACCACCACATTTAATTTAATGACAACATATTTACTTCTGAAAGTTACTAAGAAACACATTGCATATTAATAACAACATATTTAATTGTCTTTGGTAGACTATACATAAATTTTCATATTACACATTGCATGAACAACATATTTAAGTACACATGTACTAAGAAAACCATTATCTTCGGTGCCCATGGTGAACATGATTTTGCCACATAACAGTAGCAATTGCATCTCTAACGTTCGATTGGGATGTTAACCCATGTTGTGACATGTCAACGTAGTCAGCTTGGTCTCCAACAAGTCCGTTTGCTTCTGCTTCTGCGGCCATGTCATTATCAGCTTCCATAAAGAATGGATCTATAGCTGCATGCAAACGGATCCAATTGTGCACTACACAACATGCAATCACGAGAGGCCCTTGTCGTGTAGACTTATAATTTGGTATGGACCGCAATATTGGGAAGCGCTTCTTCAAAACACCAAATGTTCTTTCTATGACATTGTGTAATGACGAATGTCGATGGTTAAACAATTCCTTAGGTCCTGCATAACGATGGCCACAAAACTCTTGCAAGTGATATCGTTGAGACCGAAATGGGGCAAGAAATCCAGGCATGTTCGTGAAACCAGCATCAACTAAATAGTACTTGCCTACATGTAAATAATGAATACACAATTCTGTTAATTGATATGTATAAAAACAGATAAGGAAAAAAGTGTACCGTATGTTATTCAGGGGCAGTCACCATTGGGTGGGTGTGGGAACTGTAGATCAGCTCGTGTAATAGAATCAACCAGAATAGCGTTGTCATGAGCGCTACCTTCCCATCCAGAATTAATAAATGTGAACAACATATTGAAGTCGCAAGCTGCGAGTACATTTTGCGATACCGTTGCTTTCCGACCGCGGAATGTATTTTGTCTTGAAGCAGGGACCCATGCATCCTCCAATGTGCCATCGATAGCACCGACACAATCCTAATTGACAGATATCAGCCTTTGATATTAAAAGCGAAACAAACTTCGATGTTACTTTCATAATTAAAAAATAAATAATATTTATTAACCCTTATTGATATGAACAAACTTACAAGACAGTCACACTGTTCGTACCTTGAACCAGGGAAAAAACCGCCTGTCATTTAAAATTTTTCCCGGTATGTCCTCTAGGTTACGTGGTTTGGTAACCGATGATGAAAGCTTGCACAATGCCTGCATAACAATTTTTATGTGCCGACAAATTGTTTCCGTGGAGTGTTGAAATCTATCTGCCATTATTCGATGGCGATCATTTTGTGCAAAAGTGTATAAAAAAATTCCAAGCGATTCCTCCACACTTATATGCATATGTTCAGTATCGATAAAGCTATTATGGAGTAAAGTGTCGTTCAATAAAATGAATGTTTGTGCATCTATTCACATAACGTTCATCATTGTTTCTAGATGGCCATTTAATAGGCCGAAGATGTAATCATCACCTCTGAATGGACACGTTCGATGCGGTCGGCGACTACTTAACGCCTTGATATGGTCATGCATTAAAGCAATCATCAAAAAATCCATAAAATCATCAACAACCTCATCCTCCTCTGATGAGAGCTCCATTGTATTGTTTTCTCTTTCGGATGACATATGCCTTTGTCTACATCACAGTAAAAGCATAATTATAAAATATGTTATTCATGCAGTAATAGTTAGCGTTATTAATGAAACAGTAAAATTCAGAGGATAACAAAATTTATTTAACACATGGTCATATTATAATAACTTCCATAGTTTTAATATAACAGAAAACACTTAAAAGTTCAAAAAAAGAAAAAAACATACGAACATAGAAAAGGAAAGAGGATATGATGGAATGAAAAAAATAATAATAAAACCAAATCAGGAATAATGAAATCATCAAACAGTTCAGCCAAGAAGATTTGCTAACACAAGCAAAACAGAACTTCTCAGTTCACTGCAAAGCGAGGATCATGGCTAGGCGCAAATGTGTAGGAGTGCACATGAAAAACCTTCGCCATTCCTTATCCTTGAATAGTGTCAGTGCCCTAACGTACTGCAACGGTGGTACGTCCCCAAGCTCAAGCAATGCATCTTGACATGTATCAAGGAAATAATCATTACCACCTGCACTTACAGCCTCAGTCTCATTTTCTCGTACACGTGAATGTCCTATTTTGGCTTGTACATAGGATGTGAAAGCTGCGCACACATCATCAAACCCACTTGACCGTGACTTTTTGGAACGACCACTGTCAGTCTGGCTGGTTGCAGGGCCCCTCTTGTGACTTTTGCCCTTTGTTGGATCCATATACTCATCCCCGAATAAGTCAACAGGAATGGCCTCAGCAGCATTACTCCCACCAGCATCAGCGTTCCAAAATTTATTTAACATGTCGTCTTCTTCTTCTGAGTCAAGGGGTCCTTGTGTGGATGCATGAGACAGGGCCCCTGTAGCACAACAATTTTCAACAATTTCTGCCATTTCTTGAAAATATTCAAACCCTTTTGTCCTAAACTTCTTCACATTTCTGCTAGTCTACAACAAGTACAAAACAAGAATTAAGCACTGTATATATCATGACATGTTTAAAATAAAATTAGAAAATAGTACAGATTAATGGAAAACCTTATCCCAAAATTCATCGGGTGCAACAACAGTGTCTATAATAGGATCCCATCCCAGACCAGTCTGTGCCTGGAGTCGCTTAAATGTCTGGTAATCAGCTTTCAATCGCTGATATTTTTGGCGCACCTTAACACCTGTGAACCGAAATCCATATATGTTGTGCAACTGATTTGCATAATGATTCCAATGCCTAATTGTCCATGAAGTAGTACGGCCCGTTGTTTGATTGTTTCTAACCTCATCTCTCAACATATTTATTAATTTCGTTTCAATTCTGGGCGTCCACATTTTGGTGTTCTCATTATCATCAGAATTATTTCCATCCATCTATAAATATACAAATTATATTTAAACTAGTTTGGGATGAATATACAAGCAGAACAAAGTATTTTAAAGAACACTGCGATGGATATACAACAATAACAGTGCAAAATGATTTGAAGGAGAACACAGATAAAGGAAAAAGTACAGATTATTTTATTTCAAGGAAAAAAGTACGTAGCAGATTAATTGAATTTAAATAGCAGAAATATAATCACAAAAAAAAAACATTCAGATAGCAGAAATATAACCACAAATAAAAAAAAAATTCAGTTAACATTGTGTTTAAATAGTAGGAAAGAAATCAGTAATTTTTTTTGAATTAACAATGTGTTTGACATTGAAAATTAGTATTGGTTGTTAACAATGTAAAAAAAAATGCTAAATTAAAAAAAACACAATGTTAACATTTAGTTAACAATGTTTTACAAAAAAAATTCAGTTAACATTCAATGTTTAACAATGTGTTTAACATTGTGTTATATTGATTTGAATTCAAAACAAATCAGTATTGGCTGTTAATTGAAATTAAGGAAAATAATAAATAAAAAAGCCCGGTGGGTTCAAATAGTTCAGAGGAGGACCGGTGGTTCAAACCATTGAAGAATGAAAAGACGGAAGACAAAACCGGAAGAGGAGGTGGGAAGACCGGGTGGTTGACCGGCCGGTCAACCGGCCAGATGACCTGGGGGATGACCGGCCGGGTGTCCCAGGCACTGCCGCTTCAGGTTTTGATCGAAGAAAGGTTCAACCAGTTCATAATTTAAAATAACAACCGATCTGAAATGGAAAATACGCCTCTACAAATTCTCATAAACCATTTACGAACTGATTTCAACTTCTCCGAAATCATTTATACATAGCAGATGAATGATTTACTGACTATTCTTGAAGAACAAAAAGTTGAAACAGTTCAGGAGGAAGGATCGACTCGTCTGAAATCATTTTCAGATAACAGATTTTCAGATAATAGATGAAGGATGAAGGATTTATTTACCAGATTAGTGGGAGTTGAATAGTTATCGCCAGTGATGGAATGTGTATACTGATTGAATGTGCCATTGTTTGCTCGTCGGATTCGACAATAAATTTGATAAATTTGACCTGGAAAAAAAATTTAGGACGAATTTCTCAAATAATTTCCCTATAACAAAATATGTAAATAATTTTGTGAGTAATTTCACCTCGCAGTCGTCGTTGTTTGGTTGCCCGTAATAAGAAGCGTCCGCAATGCACAAATCATAACTCAGTCGATTTGTGAAATATGATACCAGTACAGAGCGGGTTGGATGGATTCATTATTTATAAATTGAGTCTGACTTCTGAAACTCACCCGTGATGAATCTGAAGTATGGATGTTTGATACAGAGAAGCCACCTGTGATGAATCTGAAGGACTGGTGTAGATGAGGTTCACTTGAAAGTTGGGAGATGATGAAGAAGGCAGAAACGTTGAAAAGGAGATACTTGCTACCAAACAGATTTTCAAAATGTAATTTGAATTAACACGCGGAATCAATTTTTGAACATCGTATCCAAACGTCATGCGTGAGCTCACGTGTTGAAAATTGATTTCATTTCACAACCAAACAGAGCCCAAGTTTCTGAATAACATGTTTTACAAGGGGGAGGCTCTATTTACACACCACTTTCCCTCTCAAGGCAAATCACTTCTAAAGGCACACCAAAAATAATTTGTAAAAATAAATATTTTTCTCATCACACACCACAAATTTATATATTTGCCCTTACACACCCACCCACAACAATATACACACAAGGTTCCATCTTTGCCCCCACACTGCCACACACCCCACATCCACGATATTCATCTCCCCCCCCCCATTCTCTATTCACACCGGTGAACACCATTGCTGAAAACACTCATCAAGACGTCGTTAGTGGTGTTGCTCAACATAGTTAGAACTTCATATTAGAGACTACCTCATTAGTAATAAATTGACTCGTGTAGTCAACAAGACCCCCAAATCCAACATTACTGCATTCCATGGATGCACAGTTCTGGGGAAAAAAAAATTATAACTGTTCGGTAGTACAGAGTTGAATTAAATGAAAAAGTTCGACCGTAGTAATTTGAACAAGTTGCACTTGTTCAATTGTAGTCTATTGAACATATGTAAATTGTTCGATTGTAGTTTGTTGAACAAATGTAAGTTTCTCGATTGTAGTCTGTTGAACAGATATAAGTTGTTCGATTGTAGTCTGTCAAACAATGATATATCATTCACCTCTGGTTAACCGAACAACGAATTACCACTCATAAACGAAAAAAAAAGATGAAAACAACAAAAAAAAAACCTTTTCATTGCTCCATTGTTCCGAATGAGAATTGTCAGATGCATCCTTCATTGAATCCATTCAAAATCTTCAATAATATTATATTTTTGGTTATTTGTTGAAGGGTTTTTGATTTTGGTTTTAGGGTTTTTGGATTCTTGACAGAGAAGATACGTACGGAATAAGTTTGAAATTGATGATTTATATTATATTGATTCTTGTCCTTTATGGCAAATACACAAATGGGATGTATCATAACTTGTCCTCTATAGTCATTTCACTTAAGGTTAAAATTGTAATAAAAAATAAATTAATTAATTGTTTGCCTTGAGAGAGAAAGTGGTGTGTAAATATAATGACCCTTTACAAGGCCATATTCAACCTAGAAAAAGTCATACTTTTATGTGTATTTATGTTAGGTGTGTCTAAAAATTTTAAAAAAAAATTGTTTAAAATATTAAAAAATTCAGTTAAAAAAAATAAGAAAGTAAAATTTTCTAAAAAGTATTTTTGAAAAACCAAAAACAAGCAAAGTGAATACTATCTCATTTAATTAATTTGACTGTGATTAAAATATCATTCTAATTCTTTTAATCACACTTCCAAGAAAGTGAGATGTTTTTAATTCCTCTTGTGTGATCTTTAAGCATTATTTTATTTAGGCCTCGTTTGGCAAGAGGCTATTTTAGCCAATTAGCCAAAAAGTTACTAAATTAGCCAAAAAGCCAACAACCCATACCAAAAAGTCAAAGATTCTCTTTTCTCTCTACTTTTTGCACATCTTTTCGTAATTAGCCAAAAAGTCATCCCAAACATACAAGTTTTTTTTACCTACCTTTTTAGCCAAATAGCCAAAAAGTTACTAAATTAGCCTGTTCCCAAACGAGGCCTTAGTATGATTTGTTAGATTTAGCAATAATTTGGGTGAATCAATTCGTTGTTATAATAATTCTTTCAATCCCACATCTTATTCATTCAATTATTGTAATAATCTTTTCCTCACATCTCTCTTTCTTATCCATTTGAATTGTTGTAATGACTTCTAACCCCATGTTTCTCTATTTCTTTTATTTATACGTTTTCCGTGTATGTTTTAAAGTATCATGTTTTATTTATTATACCCATCTTGTGTATCCATTTTTCATACTTGTGAATTTGGCTCATTTGCATTTGGGATTTTACCAATTCAAAGGTGGTTCTATGCGCTGTCTCGGGCTTTGAAATGATGCGCATGTCATGTAGTAGTAGCAGAATCCTTAGTTGCATATTGTGAATGTATTGCATTAGTTGTTTGTATATAGGATCATGCATATGTTTTTTTTTTTTTTTTCTTTCCTGACATATTCTTTTGCTTGCCATCAAAGAATTCTAGGTGAGCATTTTTTACTTTAGCATTTTGCATGTCCATGTTATCTATCATATCTATTGTCATACCATGAGCTAGATGCTTAAGTAAAGTATTTGTATGAATGTCAATAGATGGAGGTTGTATTGCCTCTGTTGGAATGTAGTTGAATCTTATGTTGTTAAGGTTTGTTTGTTTGTTTGTTTGTTTTTTTTCTTTTTTTTTTTTTTTTAATTTATAAAAATTTTTTTTTTTTGAGTTATACAAAAGGTGTTTTCAAAATGCATGAAATCACAGCATGATCAAGACAAGCGGCGTAATCTATATTTGTTTGTCTCAGATAGTAATGTTAGCATTACAAAATTGGAATGTGGATATATGGAGACTATAAAAATCACATCATGACTTAGTATAGGCCAATCTTTTGATCGGGTGAGTAGGGGTGCTCAATTCATGACATTCCCTCGTCATACCTAAGTTCCCGAACTGAGACACTTTGGTTATGACAGACAATGGCATTTGGCATAAGTCACAGGTTTTTCAGTTTTCCCAAAAGATTAAGTGGCGACTCTGAGATCTAGTGATGTAATCCATTTTAGGCAAAAATTTTGCAATAAAATGGATTTTCAATAGAAATTGTCAAATCTGGACTCTCATTTATATTTCACAATGCACTTGTGAAACTAGATTAGGAAATCGGGAGTCCAAACTGTTGGGTGCACTCGGTAACTCTAAATCCCACAGCTCCTACTGCCTTTAACTTACTTAGCCACATCAACCAACGTAGGGCTAATTATCACATTACTCGGCACCATTAAGAATCGGGCAAGCAATTAGATACAAAGAGTAGCTTGCTTGTGCTCCTAGAACTTCCGATCCCCTGAATCCCACCTATTAGTGAACTTATCAATCAAAGTGATGAGTTATAGCTCACCATTCTGAATGCAAGCTTTGGCTTCGCCTAGAGACAACCCACAGATCTCAGCGAGTAACTTGGGATTGCCTGTCAATAGAGTTGGATGCACCAAATCAACTCTTAGAGTACACTCTAGCAAGGCCTTAAATTCCTCGAAGGTAGGGTAGAGTTCTTGGTGTCCAAACCAGAAAACATGGACATTCGGATCCCAAAACCAAGTTGCCGCATGAAGGAATACCAAGTCAATATTTAGCTTGCTAAAAGGAAATAGGGACTTCAGGCCATAACAACAGAAGTTAACATGCTCAGCGATATCCGGACTGTCCATCCATATTAATAAACCATCTCGAGAAGACATAACTATAAGTCGAAGACGAAGAATGAAGTTTGGAACCAAATGTTGATTGGAAAAGGGCTGTGTGAATAGTCCTTCGTGCAAAGTGTAGTT